TATATTTGTTCTCTCATGTTCCCAGCATTCTTCAAAAATCGCCTTAGTTGGATGCTTACTGTTGTGGCCTTTTAAGGATACCCAGTAAATCATTTCTAATTGCATACGTCTTTCTTCTAATGGCATTTCGCCCATTTCTACCTGCAGGGCAGCTTTGGGTCACATTCTTTTTTCTTTTCCTTTCTTTTTTATTGATTTAACAACAGGGGAATACAGACACACATAATCAAACATAAAACAATGAAAGCAAAGCTTTTTCATCTTATGTTAAAAAAAAAACATTAATGCATCTAATACATTATCTTTTTCAGCAGCAAATAAATCTTAACAGCTTTACAATTGATCTGTCTTGAGATTAAGGAATCATAAAAGATCTTAAAATCAGTGGAAAACAGTCTACCATTTGGTACAGTTGACATGTATTTTGCTTTGTGTATATGTATTTACCAAATAAAATAAGAATTTTGACTATATTCTCCATCTCTAGTAAACCAGTATCACATTCCATAAACAAGGCCATTGTATCAGTTTTCATAAAAAATGTATAAACCAAATAAACAATGAAACTTGGGTCCAAAATAACTTTGGAAAAGTAACTGAAAAATAGCCTATGGTGTAAAATTGTCTCTGACTCCTCTTTAAAGTTAAAGAAGGGTATTCACCATTAGGCCTATGGTGAATACCCTTCTTTAAATTTACTAAAGTCATTAAATTGATAATATCAATGAATTATTTCTTAGACTTTGACTTTATTAGGAATTACATAGCCTATTTATTTATATAGGTATATGACCAAAATTTATGAACAAGAAGAAAGGGATAATCATGTTTCAACTTCATGACAGCATTAGGAAAAACATGTTTTTTTTTTCTGTGGTTAAGATAGCACATTTACAGCCACATACACTTAATGCATAGCCTAAATACTTTTATTAAGGGGCAATATTTGCCCCAGGAATTGATTTTTTGTGGATTTTTTAACCTTTAGAAGATAATCGTCTTGAAGCACGTTCAAACAAATAGTGTGTACATGTATAGCCTATATTTATGTAAAAAAAAAAAAAAACATTTTAGTTTTTTTAAAATAATATAATATAATATAATATGCGTATTTTTATAACGTGTGTATTTTATGTTGCTTTGTAAAATCAAAGCAACATAAAATACACACAGCAACATAAAATACACACGTTATAAAAATACGCATATTATATTATATACTTGTATATTATATAGGCTACTTATAATATACTTATATTACACTTGACTGGCACACAAGCGGCTGTGCGCTCAGCATCCCTGCGCATGCTCTTTACTGACCTCCCCCCGAATACCTCACAACATCCATCGACTACATGGATGGCTCAACATCCGTCAGAATAGACCACAGCAAGCACTGTTGGAAAACCTCTAAATCAACATGGATTGCGTTAAATTGGACCTCTCCGATATATTAGACACAAATAATATCATTATAACGTAAAGGTTTGTCCTATAGCCGTCAATTTCGGTTGCAGATACCACCATTTCGGTTTATTTCGCGGTGTCCTGATCTTATAAGCTGTTAGTTGTTTTTAATTAATAGATACATATATTAAAAAGGGCGCTCAATAATAGAGTTTATTTCATTTGATATTATTTTACCAACCGGCATAGTTCCAGCAATGGCAGATGCGGAGTTGCAAACCTTTACATCCATAATGGACGCTCTCGTGCGCATCAGCGTAAGTAGGCTACATTTGCATCATCAAAACCACATATTTGCACGTTATCTGTGATTTGCATGCGGCTGTTATTTAACACACGAATGCACGTCATATAGCAGCTTTCAAAGAAAAGGGACATTTTAGTGTTTTTCATACCCAAATGTAAAATTTTAAAAATAGCGTTAACATAGAAAAACACCCCATTTTTTTATTGAGAGCAGATCATTTCCTCGGAATGTGCAAATAACACCTGTAAGCAGAAACCGAGCTCCTCATCTGCTACCAGCCGCTGAAGCGCGTGTAGGCCAAGGCTGCTTTTCTCTGGTATTATATGATATATTTGCTCTCACTCGTGTAGGCCAAATAAATAACAGAATATTTTCCCGTTAATACAAGATTGAATATACGGGCGCATTCAGTCTACCTTAGTATCTAATTGACGCATAGGCCTATCAGACGTTGAAACAACATATACATTGATTCAATGACTTGATGGAAAATTAAAGAAGGCTTTATAAATCCAAGAAAAGGTAAAAGGCCTTGTCACTGTCGCGCGACAGGATGCATGTTGCCATAGAGACGGGATGCATGAGCGCTGAGGCCTGGAGAGCCTATGTGGGAAACGCCCGTTAAAAAGACGGATAGAAGACAGCTGGGCGAATTTAATTATTTGAATGGCTTATTGACCAAATTAAATGTATATGCTGTCAGCTGTGGGGAAAGTAACGGCTAGACGCTGAACAGAAAACAACTTAAAATAGCCAAAAATTGATTTGCTGGTCTGGTTTAGAAGGGTTTAGGGCCCTTTTCTTCAAGATCATCTTGCTAAGCAGCTAAACTAGCTGAGCACCTGTCTGCTGATCAGTGTGTCAGCATGTTCTTTTTTCATTTGTTTTCAAATGATTGGGACTAATAGAGTTGCAACAGTGCCTGGCCACTTTTTCAGCAGCCTTGGTTCTGGAAATAATCATAAGGATTTAAAAATACGTTTTTAACTGTTAAGATATGAAGCAGACCGACCAGCTATGAGGTGAATCACAACATTACAAAGTTTAATTTGAAGCAAAAAATATCTGAAAACTGAATAAAACAAATGTACAAGACTGTGTACTTAGTGGCTTTAATAAGGAAGGAGCTACAATCCTGTGAAGAATTACATTAAAAACATTTAAGAAATGTAAACTATTTGTTTCACTATTTTGATTCATATAGAAACAATATATTTTATGTGTATTGCAAAATCTAAATATTTAAGTAGTTTAAGAGTGTAGGGAGAATCTGCGCAAGTGGACTGGCATAAAGTGTTCTTTTGGCAATATTTACTAGTGAAGGTGGAGATTTCTTTTCAGAATCTTGGGTAATGCAGTTTTCACCATCGATTCCACTGTTAAACATGATTATTTAAAGAATAGGTTGAAATAATGTGGACTGACAGCTTTAACAAAAGCATAAACCATCAATTAAAAAATGTCTGTCTTTAAAGGTTAATCATTTATCATTCAAAATCAGTAAATAAATCAAATGAATGTGATTTTTACTTCAAGAACTGTTGAAATATTATAATTTCTTTAATTTAGATTCCATTGGTGTAGAATTAAAAAATGTTTACTTCCTTAAAATGACTATACCAAATATGAAGCTCAGGTGGCTGGAATGTAAATAAACAAGATTTCTGTAACCTTAAACTTTATTACAGAAGCCAACATGAAGTTTTTCGAGTTTGAGGAGTGACATTCTTGTACTTTCTGGCATTTGAAATGTTTGAGTTGCATTTAGACACTCAGACCAAAGATACAAACACACCTTTGAACAGATTTCTCTATTTGAAAACAACTCGTAAATCTCTCAATTATGAATAAAACGAAGTGGCTGAAAATATCAGTCATACTGTATGTGTCACTCATGATTTGAATGTTGCATAAAAAGATTTCCATTGTTACCTCACAATGCGAAACTGGAGTAATTTATAAAAAGTACTAGAATAAAGGAAGTATTGACTGCGGTTTTAATAAACAACATGGCTGTTTGTGTGTGTTGATGTTTGATATGCACATCCTTCTCCTGATATGCAAATGTTCTGACTAACCTATTTCCATATTGTTTACCTTACATAAACCCAGTCCACAGCATAATCCATAATCAATTTCAGTCATTAAAATGGAAATAATAATAATAATAAAATACCCCTTTTCTACTCCAAATATAACATCTTTGGATCAATCTACAGTTCTTCAAAATAAATAAATAAATAAAACATGAAACTGCACATAACATCAGGAATTAATATTTTTGAGTGAGCTTAACCTCAGAATCAGGATATATGGCTATGATCTATGCTTATATATACTGTATCAACATAATCTATAATGTAAAGAGCATGCCTGTTTGATTGCATGTTTTGTTCTGCTAATTATTTATTTAACTCTGTCTCTTTCTCTGTCTAGTCCAATATGAAGAGCATAAAGAGAGAGCTGCACTGTCCAGTGTGTGAGGAGATGGTCAAGCAGCCGATAGTGTTGCCTTGTATGCACAGTGTGTGTGTACTGTGTGCGGCAGAAGTCTTGGTTCAAAGAGGATACCCTCCACCCGAACTCCCCGCAGAGCCCAAAACTCCCACCTCAAGCCCCATCACGCGCTCTCCCCGACAAACACGCCGGCCTCCGCCCAAAACAGACCGACTAGACCGGGTGATCAGAACAGGTTTGTGTGTTCATTAATAGACACTAAGATCAAAATAAAGTGTGCTGGTATTTTATTAAACAGCTGTCTGGGACACTTGATTCTGATTTGTCAATCAGTTGGTCAGTTCTGCAGTCAAGCATTTTTTATAGTGACCACTAAACTGTACACTACCATTGAAAAGTTTGGGGTCAGTGGGATTTTTCAATGTTTTGCTCACCAAGGCTGCATTTATTTAATCCCAAATACAGTAAACACTGTAATATTGTGAAATATTATTCTATTTTATATGTTTAAAATGTAATTAATTCCTGTGGTGGCAAAGCTGAATTTCAGTAGCCATTGCTCCAGTCTTCAGC